GCAGCAGCAGAAGCAAACACAAAACCCTAAACCCTAAACCCTAAACCCTAAACCCTAAACCCTAAACAACAAAAACAATAACAACAACCCCACCAAATAAACACCAACAACAACAACAATAACAACAACCCCACCAACACACAACCCAAGGCTCAATAAACCCTAAACCCTAAACCCTAAACCCTAAACCTTAAGTCTCAAACCCTTAACCCTCAGCCCTAGACCCCAAACCCTAAACCCTAAACCCTAAACCCTAAACCCTACTCGGATGCAATGTCGAGGCATTTGTTGAATTTTCCGGTTCCTTTAAAATGTATTTTTAATCGGCGCCTCTCCACCCCACTTCTTCTTTTTTTCTGTTTGTTTTTTTCTTCTTTTTTTCTCTTCTCTTCTTCTTCTTGTTGCTGTTGCTGCTGCTGTTGCTGCTGCTGCTGCTGCTGCTGTTGTTGGTTGTGCGTTGTCTGTTTGTCTGTTTGTTGCTGCAGTTTGGCTTCAGCTGTATCTGCTGCTAGCAGCCTCTCACCTCCTTTTTTTCTGTTTTCTTTTATTGTTTTTTCTGTTGCAGTTTGTGTTTCTTCTTTATCTGTATGGGGGCCCCCATCTGGGGGCCCCTTTCCTTTATTTGGTTGTGATAAGTGTATATTTAGGGGGCCCCTATTGGGGTGTATCTGCAGCTCTGTTTCTGTGTCCTGCAGCAGATGTCTTGCATCCAGCCCGTTTGCTGCTGCTGCAGCAGCAATCTGTGCTGCTGCATCCTTGGGTACCTTCATCGCCAGCAGCACGCGGAGAAGAGTATCCGCGGGGAGGTCAACATACACCTGGAGGCCCTCAGGGTCTATGGGGGGCAATACAAAACTAAACTCATAACCAACAGGGAAACAAGGGTGATCTGCATGCAGCAACAGGGGCCCCCTGAGGGCCCCCACAGCTTCTTTAAGACGACGCAAAAACGGAGAAGATAGACGTGGGTAAGCTGCAGCAGCAACACCACCACCACCACCACCACCACCGCCAGCAGCAGCAGCAGCAGCAGCAGCAGCAGCAGGGGTTTGAGCCAGAGCAGGTGCAGGAGGATCCTCAGCAGTATCAGGAGCAGCAGCAAGACTAGGAGCAGCAGCAGCAGCAGCAGCAGTATCTCCATTGAAGTTATAATTATATTTTTGTATTGTATTTGTTGCTGTTTGTATGATAGTGCGGGCCGCAAGCTTA